GAGTGTAGGTGACAGTAGAAGACAGAGAGTATAGATGATAATAGCGTATAGGGAGTGTAGGTGACAGTAGAAGACAGATAGTGTAGATGATAATATCGTATAGGGAGTGTAGGTGACAGTAGCAGACAGATAGTATAGATGATAATAACGTATAAAGGAGTCTAGGTGATACTAGCAGACAGAAAGTTTGGCTGAAATTAGCAGACATACAGTGATGGTAAAACTTGCACAAAGAGACGATCCTATTTCGTTTTATGTAGACGATATTATGAATATATGAATGAGTCAAATCCTGTTTGTCGTCTTTTTTTTCTCATTCTGATAGAGCTGTTCTTATTGTCTGCATCTTAATAGAAATTGTCTTCAACCCCCCCCCCCCCAACCCACCCCCCATGTACCATCTTTCTAGGCTGTCCTGAACATTAAGCTTAACTCATGGGCGGCAAAGAAAAACGTGTTAAAGTTTTGCTAAAAGTTTCAGTTGTAAACTTTAAAATGCATTGTTTTGTCTCAAAGAAACCAAACGGTATGGGCACTGATACCGTGTACAATAATTTGTCTCCTTGTAGGCTACCGGCTACCCAGCTTGGCACTAGTGTATTAATAGCCACTTGAAGACTCTTTCTGTAAGGTTTAAACAACACGATTTCATTTGTGTTGATATGATACTATCCTTTTTTTTGTTGTTTTTATACATGTTTGCTATAACGTTGCCAACACACATTATGGCTCTAAATTTAATTAAGAAGAAAGACAACCATGCAATTCTATTATGTGATAAATACTTTCATTGTTACTTCCCTTTCACCTTGAAAATTTGTCAATGTAGAGCTTACACGCGTCGACTACAGGGCATTGGCATAAATATTTTATGAACAAAAATAAGCAAAACATTACAAAAGATAACAACGTACCATATAATGTAACCAATTTTAAACAAGGTTTGAATATCCCAGTAATACACTGAAGGTGAATATCTGCCTTGGTATAACACTTTTTAAAATGTTATATTTTGTTGTTGGCATAGAACTGTCAAACTGGTGGTATATTTTATCTTTACAGCCTGTATTTAATTTTAATGTTTTAACATTCCTTTATGAATTCTAATAAAACAATGTGTGTGTTACTTACTGACTAAATATGTCTCAAGATACTTTGCTTCGATAATGGTTGTACTACATGTTACATTTGTGTCACAACAGTGAAGATAATTCTGATAATGTCTGCATTTCAAGTCAGGTATAGTCGAGGAGAAGAAAGTCTGGTGTAGTCAATAATAGTGGATGGTACAGCTAGAGCAGCAAGCATGGGTATAATTGTAGTTAATGGATATAATATAGTTGCTTATTCTGGATTAGGTAGGCTCGTCTAATGTTCAACAGTTTGCAGGTAATTAGGAGATTTATGATAATGTTATAGCAGCTTCCGTATTATCGAGTGTATTACAACCATCAGTGTTCTTGACATTAAAAAAAAAGAAATGGTTTCTGCTAGCAAGACTACAAAACAATATAAATATGACGAACATTGAACTGAAACCGTGTTTTTAACAAGTCATTCCACACATTTTTGGCAGTCTTCAGCACAACATTCTGAAAGTACTTGATTAAGTTTCTATTTATAGAATATGGTATATGTTTTTAATATTAACATCGCTTTCTAACAAATCATTAGCTACACATCATTAGTTATACATCATTAGCTAGACATCAGCAGCTACACATCACCAGGTAAAAATCAAAATAGACACATCACAAGCTATACATTATCAAATCTGACCTCTGATCTGCAGTCATAAAAAAATGATCAATAAATAAACTAAATTGGGTAATCTATCGTTTTAGGTACGTAAAATCGCCCGCGACTAGTAATGTGAAAAACAAGTGACTCCTTAAGTTTTAATAATTAATTCACATTTTGAGGAGGATTTATGTTTTGAAAAATACAAAAATGTTTCCTTGTTTCATTTATGTACCTGTTTTTAAACAACTGAATTTAAACTTTTCTGTAATAAACGAAGACTAGCGATGTTTCTAATAGATGCAACCATCCTCATTTACTATAACAGCCATCTTTCGTATTTTTTAAAATTGTAAACTTATAGCGCAAGATTCAGGGGAAGCCACTCTAACTTACAGATGGCCTCCTTTTATATAGCAAATCTTTCTCGCAAACACTGCTGTTTAAAGTTAATTTCTTGCCTATATTGATATATTTAGCCACTGATTTAGGTTTATTATTCATTTATCTATAATATTTGACACAAATATATCACAATATACTTCTATTAAAGCCTTGACAATGAAGTAACTTTTTCGTACATTACTAGCCGCGGGCGATTTTACGTACCTAAATCGATAGATTACCCTAAATTATATCCCAGCAAACAACATCACATCCAGTGCATAAATGGGAAGACATCATCTGAAGCTAGACCAACTCTACTCCACCTTCTCAAACACCGCACGTTCAGTATGACGAAATTAAAATGAACTACTTAGACGCGAGCTTAAACGGACTTTGTTCTATTTGCATGCCTTTTCAACAAAATATGTAAATACAATTTGTAAATATCTCTGGTTGTGTCCAGTTTGTATATTACATCCCTTGTATTTGCATCTAGCAATGGAAATATTTTAAATTCCTATTAGGAGTGGGTTTTTTTTTACTACGACTTTTTTCTCTTGGGGGGGGGGGGGCTAAATTTTCCGAGAGGGTGGGTGAGGGATTTTTTTTCCGGGAAGCGGAGACTGGTAAAAGTATAAATGCTACTTCGTTTGAGGGATGTGGAGGGGGATGGCGGTGCCCCTTCCCCCCTCTGAAGAGATGCCTGAAACAAACTATGCTTTAGGCCATGTCAGCAATGTCAAATTTAAAAATGTACTGTTCTTTTATTGCCGTCACGTTTTAAAAACTTATTTTATAAAGTTTATTTTTTCTTCCTCTGTTTCAATTTCATTTACCCCATTATCTTTTAATTTATTATCAGTTACGTTTTTACACGTCTGACGTCACGCATTTTTATCCACCCCCTTCATAATGTATAATAATAGTATCGTATCCTCTGCTACGTGGCTGATACACGTGCGGGATAAATGTAGTACAGTAGGTAACTGAAATGTATACTCAACTGCCAAGTGGAATTACGACCCTGGCAGGAATAGTTTAAGTCAAATAAGTATTCAAATGCCCCGTGGGCTAAAGCACAGGCAGTGTAAAGTAAATCGGGTAAGTTATCGACTGTCTCAAGGTCTAAGCCACGAACAGGGTAACAATGAAAAGTATGTAAGTAATCATGCATAACAGTAAGATAATAGATATGGTATTTATTGAAATTACTTGTTACAATGATAAACAAATATGCATATCAGTACTGGTAAAGTGAAAATAAGAAATAAAGTAAAACCAAACCCAGAACACGTGGAGGTCGGGCCGACGGCCCCAACGCCGCGTGCGACACCACCAGCTGAGCTCAGTGCTGGAAAAGTGGGTGCATTTTTTTGTTGCATCCCCTTTTATACATTAAAATTGGCGGTGTGTCACGTGGACAATCTAGACAACTAGAGAAGAGCCTGTGAGGAGGACGAAAGATAAGAATGTACATGGCTGAAGAGGGGGGGGGGGAGTAATAGAGAAGGTAGAGGGTGGTGTAATAATAAAATGGAGCTAGGCCTAAACGGTTTTACCGTCACACCCCATTTTCTCGCTAAAATTTCGTGGTAACTCAATTTTCAGCAGACCAGAAATAAAAACAATATCTTTTCATGTGACCTTCAAATTAGGTTTTACCGTCACAATGTTGACACAGGAGTTTATCTTGTTTTAAGTGTATATCAACTCGTCCACGTCACGGTCTTTAAAGTAATGGATGATTCAATCTCACCCTACAGTTACAACATTTGTAATGCAACCGGTACATTTTGTGTAGAAATACTTGACATTATAAATATTTCAAAAGCTTAAGAATAGAAACGGAGGAGGGAGATATTCTACTGATTTGGCAGCAGAGTTTCTTTCAGGCATCTCTTCGGGGGAGAGGGGGCTGAGCCCCCCCGAAAATTTTTTACCGCCCCCCCCCCCCCCCACGAACGAAATGAAATTTATATAATTTACATAGAAAATATATACTTGTAACAGTGTCCGCCCCCTCGAAGAAAGTCTACCGCCCCCCCCCCCCCCCCACCCGAAAATTTCAAGTGCCTTCCCCCCTCGGAGAAAAAAGTCTGGAAGAAACACTGTTTGGCATTGTTCTACTGATTTGCCTCTATTTCTTCTTGACTCTTGATGTTGTATTGCTTGTCTGTCATGGGGGGTTATATATATATATATATATATATATATATATATATATATATATATATATATATATAACTTCTATATATTCTGATCTACTACTATTCATACGGCAACTATTATACTCGTGAGGAGGACGGGAATCACTCTTATGTTCCGCAGACACTAATTAACAATGTCAACAATTTCGTTTATGAACTAACATTAACTTTATTAACACACACTTATAGATCATTTGCTCAACATCAAAGAATACGTCCGTCTGCTACTATATCTAACCCCCAGCTAACTTTACTGCTGAGTTCTACGTCATCGGTACATTGTCGCGTCATGCTCAAGTAACACTCACGCCACAAATATTTTATTTAACGCGCACAATACTCTCGCACCAAATCGTCTACCGTCAAGGTCGCACCGTCCTTAGTAACCTCTACTCGTCTAGTCTAATTCTATATGTCTACGCTATGACAGTGTCCTCTTCGTAATTAAGTTATTTTCAATAACATTCTTTAAAATGTTTGATTGCCTGCATAACTCAAGTATATGTGTTTATAATTGCGTGATGTAGATTTAGCAATACAATTGCCTTTTGATTTTCAACTGAGATTGTATTTTAATTTTAAAATATTGCTGTAATATTTATTCACACAAGGACAACAATAGCTAACCTATCACGAGACAATAGAACACAAGACTTTGATTTTTTTGATCAGCTTTATTTATAACACAAGCTTGGCAAAACAATCTCAAGTCCAAACAAATTTTGTCAGATGGATGCCGACCTGGGCTTATAACCCCACACATTACCCCACATGACATGTACGAGTTTACAAACAAAATCTAAGCTTAACATATTTTCTGTTGTTAAACAATATATTACACTATTTTGTAGAATTTGAATTTTACTGCTTGTTATTAAAAAATCTTCTATTCTAATATGTTCAATGTTTGAGCTATGCTTATTTCCTGGCTGCAGTTTTCTTCTAGGTAGAAATTAGAAATTGTTTAGCTACAGAAATAAATTAACTTAGATGTTCCCTTGATAAACTTAGTTTGTTTAAAATTAAAAACATGTTTTGGTTTTCTTGTCCAGTGGGTTAACAGCGAGGGTAATATAGGTCCAGGGGTTAATTAACTGGGAGCCAAGATAATGACTATGGATTTGGTTTTCGGAGTTTCATCTCAACAGAATCTAGAGAATCATAATAACCAGTGAGCACATTCCAATAGAGACCCTTAAGATAATGTTTACATCCCACAATTCCATTGAAATTTGCCGCTCCACAGTGACCATTTACCGTAGGAAACCACCAACCTGCCCAACTATTACACAATATCCGGGCGCCACTGTCGTAGGTTGAGAACTTCATATTACGGCTGTATACTAATTGATCTTGTGTAGACCCTCTGTAGCCGGCGGTGTTGTAGGACATTCTATAGAAATCTGCTTCGTCAGTCAACGTGAAGTTTTTGTAGGAAGCGAAATGGTCTCTTCCCTTATATTTCATGTCAATCCTTAAATCTGTATAGCCCTGTAAAGTCAACTTGTAACTTTTTATAAATATTAAAAGGCACTCGCCCAAATCAAAAATTCAACTTCAACAATTAGTTACTGCAAGTAACACAAATGATGAAAAATACAACAAACGCTAGAGATTTTGTGCGATCTTTCCCATTCTTTCATTAATCTCTTTCCCGCTTTCTGTCACTCACACACATATTCTCTCACTCTGATACACCCCTCTCACACTCCAACTCATGCACACCGATATCTTTCTTTCACACACACACACACATTCTCTCTTTCTCACAAGCTCTTCAATATCAAATTAAAAAAAAATATTTACAGCCATTGTCAGTTTTCTTATCATCTCATTCCCAAGCCAAAAGTCTTGATCAAAAGAACCCCATCCGTCGCGATATTTTACCCAGGTTTGTTCATTGTGGTGACCAGGTGTCCTAATGCGCTGAAGATATATTTTACATAAACCATTAAATAAAACTTCTAGCTTTATGTCAGCTAGATTTTAAAGCGTTGGCTTTAAACTTACGCACATTTTCAAACTGGTGAAACCTGTTGAAAGATTTGTTAAGGATGTAACCTATAGCCTCATTAAAACATTAAAACTTAAGCAAAAAACCACTAAATTTACATATGTTTTTAAAATTAATTTTTTTAACATACTACCTGGATCAAAATCCAACCACCCCCGTCAGTTCTAGTATCACAAAGAACGTGTTTTCCATCCAATGATTCAAACAAAGCTCTCTCTTCCAAGCAGGGAACCATGGAGCTTCTTTCACATTTTGGCTTTTGCTTGAGCGGACAGTTAATAAATCACCATACGTAAAGGTATATATATATATATATATATATATATATATATATATATATATATATATATATATATATATATATATATATATTAACGATAGAAGTTTTAAATTTTGTTAGTGATGATGATTGTGTCAGTTATTCACTTAAATAAAAAACAAGTTAATAAAAAGTCTAGTGACAATTTAAGCGCAATTTCCTTATGTTATCTAAAAATAGATATAATGCTGGGGTGCGTTCAAGCTAGGAGAACGATCGGTTTATGTAATTTTAAAAAAAAATTTGTGACCGAACGAAAGGATATTTTTAAAAACTTTCTTCGACAATATTGTTCTAAATTATGGCAGGAATCGATTAGTAAATGTATCACGTCGCTAAGTCGTCTGGTTGCCGAGATATGGACCAAAAACTGCATTTGTTCGAGTTTTTTTCGGCTTTTCCGGGAAATCCAGGAAGGAATTCCGGGAATTTTTTTAGCCCGCAATCATCCTTGAAACTTGCTTAACATATTTGCTTTTGGAACTAGTCCTCGATATTGCTTTGTTGAGGAGGAGATACGACTTAAAGCTGCGGACACACATCCATCCATTCATTCATTCATTCATACATCTGGAAATGACGAGTTAATAATCGCAATTGTCCGTATGGAAATTGCGCTAAAAAACATACTGGACCAAATGCAGATCTACAGCGTCGAGGTCTATCTTTGCAGCGAGGTCCTCCAGCTTTTTTGGCGTATCTGTTCTCTTATCATATGGTAAATATAAGTAAACACGAAGTTACTGAACAATAGTATATACAATACATTTAGTCCAAAATATAATAAGATATATATATATATATATATATATATATATATATATATATATATATATATATATATATATATATAAGTCGTTTTTTTTTTCTTATTTATATTCTTGGATACTAAGTTTGACTTTAGATATGCTTTCGGTAAATAGTTAAAGCACATTATTCGCATAAGAATAAATACATACAAATAGAGCACATATAAGCACAATCATACCCACAGGCTACCTGTACTAGCACATATCACTGTCTTTAGCAATACATTAATTTATCAAGCACAAATTTAATAAATTGAATAATTAATTCGGATATATATTTTGAACATAACTACTATCACATAATATAAATTATGTGTATGAAAAGAAGCATTACAAAATTAACTTTTCTTTTCAAAACTAACGGAGTAGTCCTACTTTTGTTAGTAAATGGCCTGACTAAAGTGAAAAATAGTTCATGCTGTAAATAAAATGAAATCATATATATATATATGATATCAACTGTAAAATCTCACCCGATGAATCGTCAGCGTATGAGCAGTTGAATCCCTGGAAGAAGAGAGCAAATATTAGCCACCATGTGAAGTAGTCCATTGTAGATGGATGTCAGACAGGCTGCGGTCTGGGCTGTAATGAAAAGAGCGATCTAGATGCCTCCTTCACTTGAACATGCAGACCAGAAAACTAGCATGTAGTTTTTTTATTAACTTATAATCTTAAGTAAGGTAACAGATGGTAATGCGATTGGGTGTTCTAATTTCGTAGGTGTTGTGTAAATCCTGATTTACTGAATTTTCTAACAAATGAAGGTCAGTAATTAGGTTGTTAGAAGTAATATTTATTTTTTAAACTGATGTCAATCATGGTTTACCTGTCCTAAACTCTAAAAAAACAGTTAATGACGTGTAATGTTAGGATAAAGAATAATGTATGTTAGAAGGAAGATTAGTGTAATGTTAGTGCAAAGGTTATTGGAATGGTAGAGTGTAGGTTAGTGTTTTTTTAGGGTAGAGATTACTGTAACGTTAGGGTGAAGGTTTTTGTAATGTTAGAATGAAAGTTAGTGTAATGTTAGAGCAGAGGTTAGTGTAATGTTGGGGTACAGGTTAGGGTATTTTTAGGGTAGAGATTACTGTAATGTTAGGGTGAAGGTTTGTGTAATGTTAGAATGAAAGTTAGTGTAATGTTAGCAGAGTTTCTTCCAGGCATCTCTTCGGCTTCCCCCCCCCCCCCGAAATTTTTTACCGCCCCCCCCCCCCCCCCCCACGGAACGAAATGAAATTTATATAATTTATATAGAAAATATATACTTTTAACAGTGTCCGCCCCCTCGAAGAAAGTCAACCGCCCCCCCCCCCTCCGAAAATTTCAAGTGCCCCCCCCCCCCCCGGAGAAAAAAGTCTGGAAGAAACACTGAATGTTAAAGCAGATGTTAGTGTAATGTTAAGGTAGAGGTTAGGGTGGGTATTTTTAGGGTAGAGATTACTGTAATTGTAGGGTGAAGGTTTGTGTAATGTTAGAATGAAAGCTAGTGTAATGTTAGAGCAGAGGTTAGTGTAATGTTAGGGTAGAGGTTAGGGTATTTTTAGGGTAGAGATTACTGTAATGTTAGGGTGAAGGTTTGTGTAATGTTAGGGTGACGTTTAGAGTAATGTTAAGGTGCAAGACAGTGTTATGTGAGGTTGTTGGCTATTAAATGCTAATCCTACGCCCACAGATCCATAAAACAGTACAGTCGTGGTGAGATTGCATTGGTTGCTTTAAATTAATGTTGTGCAGGTCAAACCGAACAGAAGGTCGTTTAAAAAATATATCGATTAGATAAAAATATCGGTGAAACTAATTTAACAGTTGAAAGAGGTAGGGGTCATATTATTATTAACTCGATATCTATGCCTGAAGAGACTAACACATTGCAGATAAACACATCAGTTCCAAACAAGTCATCTTTAGCGGTCATCCATTTATGACGTCCACACGGAGGGTTTGGGATAGTAAAAAAACGAATTTCGCGGACGCTTGAAGAATAAGTTGGGGGGGGGGGGGGACAGTGCGGTTTATTGTGGACGTCAACATGTTCAATATAACATGGAACTTCCCCTACAATTTTACATAAGACTCAAATCCTGCAGGTTAAACGTACAATTAAGACGACAGTCTTTGTGTTTTGAAAAACATAACCAATTCAACGGTGTAAAAAAAGCACAGGGTACATACATAATCGAAGCATTAATTTAAACAATCATTGGTAATAAATAAGCAATATAATGATACTCCGTAACCGTGTTTGATATAGAAATTTGGCCCTTTTCTGCTTCGTTAAACATATATGTAATATAGAAAACCTTCCTTACCTACGCGATCCGGATAAAATATAAGTTTTTGTAGATTAACGAATTTAGAAAATATATCTTTTTTAAAAACAGTTATGAACTTTGTAGTAGTGTGCACGATGAAAACTGAGAAGGTTGGAATGTTCTATTATCTTTTTAAAGATTGTATATGTATAACAGAATGCAAACCTTCATACTTCATACTAAACACGTGTACGTGATTATGTTATAAATATTGCTATATGTATACAATCTACGTACATAACATTACATCTATAATATAAGCGCCCGGGTAGTGTGTCAGTCAGTTAGTTCGTCAATCATCGCTACAGATTCTAGAACCATATAAGTAAACAATAACACTAAGATTTTAAACTTATATATTGTTCGAGATGACTTAAACAATTAATAATAATCATTAAAAAAGTTTTAAAAAACCCACGTTTTCTGATTGAACTAAAAAGTAGAAAACAAATGCTATACATCACAATAATGCAAGCGATCACTCTACTATAAGCGATGAAAAACGTGGGGCGCCGAAGTAAAAGTTATATTACTATTGATTAGATAATACTATTGACTTTTATTAGGGAGCTTGTAGAGAGTCAACAGTATTAGAAACTGTAAGAAAATCACGGCGCCCCACGTTTTTGATCGCTTATAGTAGAGTGATCGCTTGCATTATTGTGATGTATAGCATTTATTTTCTACTTTTTAGTTCAATCAGAAAACGTGGGTTTTTTAAAACTTTTTTAATGATTATTATTTTCTACTTTTTAGTCTTTGTCTGTTTGTTTGCATTAAAATCTTGCTATCGATTTTATCTTTTCACTTTTTTTTTTGGGTAAACGAAGACAACTTGTAAAAAGACAACTCGTAAAAAACACGTTGTGTGAATACGTTACTGACTAGAACACATAGATTTGAACCCGTGTCGAGTGGGATAGCAATCGTGTGCCCAACCACTCGACCATATCGTCTCCCCCAAACTGGCCACCAGTGGTAATACTTACCTCCTGTAAGTTTAAAGTCGGTTCAAACTAAATTATCTGCCCCTAAGCCTGTCGCGATGTGGGATCGTTCGCTTCAATGCGCGCGGCACGAGAGAGGCGAGCTACGCGTCGCTCGTTTTTTTTCTAATGGCTCGCAGAGGAGAATTATATATATAGATTATATAGCGGTCTAAAATGCTCAATAAAATGTTTCCATTGATCAATTTAGTAATAATAACAATTGAATATTCTATGGTCATCCAAATGAAAGCTTCCCTGAAAATTTCAGCGCGCTAGCTAACTGGGAAGTGCCAGAAATTTCGATCGCAAGATTTGATTGGAAAGACAAACAGAGAAAGCAAGTTAAAGAAAACGTGGGAAAAAAATATTTTTATTTACCTTTAATTTGATACCAATTTTATTTATCAAATTTAATCGGTGACCTAGAAAATGATTTGTGAAAAAAACGCATTTCTTTTTAAATGAATGCGATGATATGGCTGATATCCAGTGATACGGTTGGTTAGCTTTTAAGGAATGTTGTTGTGACGGATTGAACGTTCTCTGCCGTTCAACAGAAATGTGTTGTCCTCTAGATTTCTTCCCATTCAATAACACGGCGAGCAAAAAGGGCGCGCTTAGTTAGCTGTTATCTCGAATAAGTAGCTTTTGTAACTTTTGTTTTTACCCGGCATGGTTCTTTAAAAATTAAGAAATTAGTTTAGTAGGACCCAACATGTAATTTTCAATAATTTAGAGTTATTTCGAGTAAGTTTAAAACAATCTAATATATAAAGTTCAAATCTGTATTTTTGTTTGTTTATTTTGCTTTTTTAAATACTTTTATTTTCCAATTTAATACAAATACAGTAACATTCCACGCCGTTTTGGGTGGATATTTACAAGATTGTTACATTGGTGTACAGAGTATAAGGCAAGCCAAGCGTCAAAATGTATGCTGTGTGATCTAACTGCTGATGTGTTACTATTTATAGTGTGTGCATGTTTGGGGGGGGGGGGGGTGACGAACAGATTGCTGTGTGAGCGATTTTGCGGGAGAGTGAAAGTTTGGTATGTTCAAGTCGGTGTTTATGTTTGTTTGGGTGTTTAGTACCCACAGGCTAGGGGTGGGTAGGCGTGTAGCTATCACGGGGTGTGGGGATACAGTGGAGTTTTAAAGGTCGAAAATTGGTTAACAGTGTTCTCATAAAAGAGTTGTTTAAGTTAACAAAACAACTGTAAGTAATAATGTAGGGGTAATTTTGTACGTTGTGGACCAAAGTAAATGATATTAGTAAAATAGCGACAAATGATGACGTTACAATAATTGTTTGTAAGCTGTATAAATAAAACAATACACAAGTAAGCAACAATAGGAAACTAAAGGACAAATGATACATGATGCGAAACAAGGTGGGGACATGGGGGTTGTGGGGGTGGGAGTTAAATTAATGTTTGTTAGAAATGTATTTGGATAATATATCATCTTCAGTATTTAACATTGTATTTCAACACAGGGGTGGCGTTATGGGGACGAAGTGGATGCAATAATGGGGGCAGATGCGAAGCGAGGGGTGAGGGGCGGGGTGCCGACCGCACCGGGTGACACCATTTAGGGGGGTGACACCAAGGCAAAAAAATTAGCAAAATATATATAGAAAAACGAGGTGGGGGGGGTGCAAATCGAAAGTTTAAGTTAAAAAAAACAACGTTATTCCCGTCGGAATAACCTCTTAGGTTCATTACATTTGTCCAGATGCCATATTTTCTTAAATAAACAATTGTTTGTGAAAAAGTAAACAAAGACTTCGTCATTTGTTCTATGTACAGGGGAGGTAACGTTTTAAAGTAATGCTTTTGAAATAATTTTTATACTATTTAAAAAGAAAATCATACAGCATTCGTTTAAAAAACAGTTTGTTATACATTAAGTGATGTATTGTAATGAAATTGTTAAATTAATTGCAATAGTTTATTATAATTTATTTATTTAATTCTATTCGACGTGTCTATCCTTAAGGAAGCCTTTGTAGTTTTAAAAACCTTGCGACCATTGAGTTTGCGAATACTCCACCAATGTTTGCATGACTTGAAATTACTCAGACTGTTTAAACTTAGGACCTAAGAAGTCCACATACAAGACAATAAACTAAAGTAATCATTTAAATTCTGAAAACTATTTTGAAAACCTAATCGAAGCTAGGCAGTATGCCTAGTAAGTATATATTTCTGAAATGACAATGAAACTTTAAAAAAATGGTTCACGGTAGCGCCGATTTCGGCAGCCATCATTACAATGACAACGTTTTTTTTTTTTTTTTTTTTTTTTTTTAAAGAAATGCTTTTATTTTCCATCAAAACAAAAATGCAACAT